AACTACAAAGAAAGTCCCAAAATCACAATATGTAAAATGACAACAAAACAAAAAGGGACGAATTCACAAAGACACTCACTCTGAGAAAAGAGTTTCAAGTGTTTCAACATACCATACCATAGGCTTGCCTTATTTTAATTCATCGCTTTATTCTAAGAACACTCGGTTGGAGATCCCATAAGGACTTTTTAAGCTTGTAATGTAGGTTTAGGGAAGGGTAGGATAAGCATTTGGAGACAAGTGACTTCACCCTCCTTGAACACCAATCACATTTTTCATTCTTTTGCACTATGTTTCTTTTCAACCCACAAAGCCTCATTGGCATCTAGTTCCCAATGTAGAACCACCCTAAATACCTCTCTCATTTTCTTCAAGGCTCCATAATTTATATACATACAAAGATTTCTCTTTTTTTTATATATACATGTTTTCTTTTTTGGAGCTTGAATACTTTAGCACAAACACTTTGAGGTATATGATCCTACACTCAATGTACAACCTTACCAATTTTCATTTTGATATCACACCCCCAACTTAGGCTTTTAGCCTCATTCTCAACGTTTAAGGAGGGACAGGTTCAACAGAGGGAATTATTTTACAAAAAGGGAATGGTTTGTAATGAGGTAGCCAAAGAAAATGGTTAAAGGCTCAAATGGGGTGACTAAGGATATTAACTGAACAATGGGTGGCTTGAAAGGCTAACTGGCTTGAAAGATCACAAAGACTGCCTAAGGTCATCTCTCCAACCAAGTGTAATTATTATAAGCATCGAAAGACCAACTGGGCAAGTTCTAGATGGCAGAAGCAAACACAAGAAATATTTACACAAAGAACTCACACACATGGCACACGAATCGTTTGGCTCACATAGTTTGAAGCCCTCGAGTCAACACTTGGCAACTCAAAGCTTTCATCATATGTACAAGTATAACTTTAGGTAGACATAGAGTCACAAAGCGAGCCTCAAGTTCACACGGTTGATATCTTTCTCTAGAAGGGTATATGCTATATACAGACACACATGCTTGAGACTAGAAAATTACACCAAGCAAGTCAAGATGTTTCATTCTACTGTCCTGGTTCTACTATTACACCCTTGGAAAAGAACCCGGCGAAGAAAAACCAAGGGGAATTCATTGCTAATTACTAAAGATGAATGACTATCTACTTTTTTTTTTACTTGCATAAGGGTATCATATTCACAAGGGTACCATAACTTATGCATTGAAATCATGAAAACACTAATATAAACATGATCACGAACTACACAACACAACTTATGCACAAAAACCATACTAACATACACAGAACACAACATACACATATTTCCAGTAGTTGCTAATGTCACAAAAGTACCAACGTCACAACAGTACTAACAAGGCTACCACCACCCCCAACTTCACAGCATGTATTGTCTCCAATGCATAAAAAGCAAAACATAGAGTGTAAGTGGCTCCCTGAGGCGCACTAAGCGCTATGGGAGTCAGTAGCCTGCTCAGTGATGGCTGGGTCACTCTCTAGTGCTGAAACTGGGACTGATGGGAGCTTGGTCTGAGAAGGGACCTAGACTGCAGTAGGGACCTCTGGCTGGTCAAGAGCAGGAGCTGGAGTTGGGACCTATGAGCTGCTAGCCTCGCCCACTGATGGCTGAGTGGCCGATGAATCTGCAGGGGCGGCCAAATATGCTAGCGAATAGTCAATTGCTGCCTGAAGTTCTGCTTGCTCCACCTCCTCATTTGTAGGAACCATAACCTACTTGCCCTTCTCCTGGGGGTCATCATCCTCCGAGGACCATGAACTTTCCTCCTCCTCACCCTCATCTGCCTCCTCATCCTCGGACTCAGTAGATCGTCTGGAACACTCCTAATCAGGAATGTCAATGCGTACAGGAGGAGCTGGAGGTTGGGGAGACCCAGCTGTAAGAGGGGCAATGTTAGTCATAAGTGTAGAGAAGTCAAGGCCCAAGTCCGGAGCTGCTGTGCCTGTAACCTGATCACCATCTGTGGGGAGGAGGGATGACAGATCAAACTCCAAGTTTTGCATTTTGTGGAGCTCAATATTCAAAGAAGCAACCTCCTCCTTGAGGCCCGGTAACCTACTAACTTCACCCCGCTCGATCTTCTCAGCCCGTAACTCAAGTCGCTGCAAACGACTCTCATACACTGATTGTTGTTTTTGAATGGCTGTCACTGAGGTTTGCCTAGGAGTCAGGGCTTGCTTGATGAGGTTGGGAAAGGTTTTCAAGAGCTAGTCTACTTTGGCATTGGCATGCTGAGCTAGGAGACCAAGCTTTGAGACAGCTGGAATGGCAACAGAAGGCTGAACAGTGGTGGACTGAGAAACAGGCTCGGAAGCAGAAGTGGATGCCACTGTGACCTGAGGAGTCGACGGAGTCTGGAAGTCGGAAGGCTCTATAGTAAGGGGCTCTTGATGAGGTTGGGAAAGGTTTTCAAGAGCAAGTCTACTTTGGCATTGGCATGCTGAGCTAGGAGACCAAGCTTTGAGACAGCTGGAATGGCAACAGAAGGCTGAACAGTGGTGGACTGAGAAGTAGGCTCGGAAGCAGAAGTGGATGCCACTGTGACCTCAGGAGTCGACGGAGTCTGGAAGCCAGAAGGCTCTACAGTAAGGGGCTCTTGAATCTGAACTTGTGGTGGGACAGCAGCATCAGTGATACGAGTGATATCAATGTCCTTCGTCTCCTTCCCGATTTTGTCATAGTGTGGCATGAGGGGAACTTTCACAGCTTTGCAGAGAGCTGTGATCAGGCAAGGGAAAGGAAGTGAAGTGGCCTGCTGCTTTGCCCGGATCCCTATTTCTTGGAAAATCAGAGCTCCAACATCTATCTTGATATTTGTCATGATACAAGCAATGAGAAGAGCCTTCTCAATAGCTATTTCAGTCTCATTCTAGGTTGGCACCAATCGAGAAGTCACAAAACTGAGCCAGTAGCAACCCTCTCTCGTGAGATCTTCCTTGTATATCTTGTGCCGAGGGTTTATCCAAGAAGGGTCCCTTTCGCTATCACTGAAGCAGTCCACCCACGCTTATTCTCCCTGTTCGCAAATTTAGCCTCGTACTCAGCAGTGCTTTCATCCCAGCTAGGGAAGTACAATTCATTTATGGCTTCACTGTCGCAAAACACAGTCTTTTCCCGAACAAGGACAGTCTCAGCAAAAATCCTATTGTGTTTATGGTGTGCTGCTCTAGAGGCTCCATATGATGCATAGAACTCCTGCACAAGTGTTTCATTATGCTCAGTTGGTGGCTCAGTGAAGCACTCCCATCTCCGTGTTTTTATGTTCTCCAGGATGTGGGGGTACTGGTCTTTCAGCCCGTTCAAGCTCAATTGTTCTTCAGCCAGGATTTTGCGCTTGGTGAGCCCTTCTCTATATAGTTTCCTGGACCCCTCAACCCCAAACCGGAGGTGGAAGTCTTCTCCACGTTTCTTTCTTTCTTCAGCCTCTAAATTGACTGAGGGCCTGACCTCCTCCTGATCAAACTGGGAGGGGTTTGGCACATTTGCTTCCGTCCGTGAACGTTTTGCTTGTGATTCCTAGCGACTCGAGGAAGCCCTTTTTGAGGCAGAGGCTGAGTGTTTCTTTGGATCCATATCTGCACAATGTAGAAGTATGAGTGTCAACATTAGCAATACTGAGAAAGAACAGAAGAAATTACAGGAAAAACTCGAAATGCGACATGATCTGTGGTTGCAAAACCACAATGCGGACCGCAGACTCGTCGCAAATCTGTTAGTCTCAAATGGTCTCAGTCTGCGGTGGGTTATGCGTTCGCATAACCACTGTGCGGACCGCATAACCATCGCGAAATTGACTTGCCTAAAACATAAATCACACAATGCGATCGCAGACTCCACCGCAAAGTGGGGAATGCGATCGCAGAACAACTGCAAAATGCATGGCTCTTAACTGGGTGGTCTGTGTCACTCTGTGGTAGCTTTGCGGTCCGCATATCAATTATGCGATTGCAAAGTCACCGCGTTTCACCATCTTCATCAGAAGACCTAGGGTTATGTTTTGCGGCCAAAATGCGGACCGTATTTTGACTTTGCGGGCCGCATATGCCTTCTTATTCGAGATTCAAGCAATCATCTCAACAATGGCTGACCTATTTCCATCTACCCATCACCCCAAATAATCTCCAACCCAGAAATGAATATGCTACGGAAATAAAAACAACTATACAAAGCAACACACAATCATAAATTTTTTTTTTGTTTTTGAAGAGCGGGACGAACGAGAATCAACGAGCACACAACAAAAATCTTGAACAACAAGATTGGAAGAAGGGTACATACCAGTGAGGCTTAGTGTACACACTACAGAGATGAGATTTGGTCGCTTGAATGATCGATTCCAAGCTGAGTATGTTAGCCCCCGTTGTTTGCTTGCTTGTTCTTTTCGTATTTTTCCCTTTCTTTTTTTCGTTTCTTTTGTTCTTTTTACTTTTTTTTGTTTTTTTTTTTTTGTTTTGAGTGAGTTAGAGATGAGAGAATGCGGCCACATACCTGTCACTTTGCGATTTGTAGGGCACCGCATAACACGCTTTGCGACCGCATATGTGTTATGTGGTGGGTTCAAGTGAGATGATGAAGAGTCAGAGATGCGGTGCACAATGCGGTCGCATAAGTGAAATGCTGTCCACATAGTGCACAACCCCATCGCATTCTGACACCCAATTTTGGCCAAACCCACTGCTTGGGTCTGCGATCAAAATGCGGTACGCATAGTTAAAATGCGACCGCATCTTTGCAGCAAACTTCACACAGCGATTTTTCTTACCTTTCTCACGCATTCCCACCATGTGTTGTGATCTTTTGAACCCCCTGCACTCTAATACACACTTTAAATTGCTCAAGAAAATCTATCTATCAAAAATTAAAAATTCAAAGAACAAAAGAGTGTTACCACACATGGGTTGCCTCCCATGAAGCGCTTGATTTAATGTCGCGGCACGATGAAGTTGATGTTCCTTTGGATTCACTCAATGGTCGGACATGAACCATCTTTTAGAGCCAGCTGCTCCACCACATGTTTTTCTCCATCTGTGCCCAGGTAATGCTTGATGAGTTGGCCATTTACCTTGAATGTCCGTGACCCATCTTCCGATGCCAGTTCCACAGCTCCATAAGGAGAGACACTTACCACTTTGAACGGACCGGACCATTTGGATTTAAGCTTGCCCGAAAACAATTTGATCCTGGAGCTAAAGAGCAAAACCAAGTCACCCGACTTGAACTCCCTTTTCAAGATCTTCTTGTCATGGACGAACTTCATCCCTTTCTTATACACAGCTGCACTTTCATATGCATGGAAATGGAAATCCTCCATTTCATTGAGTTGTGTCAACCTCAAATTTGCAGCTTCACCCCAATCCAAGTTCAACCTTTTTAGAGCCCACATGGCTTTGTGTTCCAGTTCTACAGGTAGATGACAAGCTTTGCCGAAGACTAACCAATATGGAGAAGTACAAATAGGAGTTTTATACGCCGTGCGGTATGCCTACAATGCGTCATCTAGCTTCCTTGACCAGTCTGTCCTGTTTGCATTAACAGTTTTTGCTAGAATGTTCTTGATCTCCTGATTGGAAACCTCAACTTGACCACTAGATTGGGGATGATAAGGTGTGGCCATCTTGTGCTTGACGCCATATTTTTCTAGTAGCCCTATAAAACCCTTGTTACAAAAGTGAGACCCACCATCACTAAGAATGGCCCTAGGAGTGCCAAACCGAGTGAATATGTTTTTCTTCAAGAACGCGGTCACACTTCTTGCCTCATTGTTACGCAAAGAAATTGCTTCAACCCATTTGGACACATAGTCCACAGCTACCAAGATATATTTCATCCCATAAGAGCTCACAAATGGACCCATAAAGTCAATTCCCCACACATCGAAGATTTCTATCTCCATCACAAAGTTCATAGTCGTTTCATGCCTCTTGGAGATTGATCCTTGCCTTTGACATTGGTCACAAGACTTGACCATTTGATTGGCATCATGATAGATTGTCGGCCAATAGTAACCACATTCAAGTACCTTGGCCGCCGTTTGATTTCCCCCATGATGACCCCTAACCGGCGAGTCATGGGATGCTTTTAGAATAGGCATGACTTCTTCTTCTGGAACACATCTTCAGATGATGTTGTCGGCACAAACACGGAACAAATATGGCTCTTCCCAATAATATTGCCGACAATCTCTCAAGAACTTTTTCTTTTGATAGGACTCCAAACCCTCCGGAATAAGGTCACTCACCAAATAGTTAGCAATATCGTCATACCAAGGAGCAAAAGTGCTAGATAGTGCCAAGATGTGTTCATCTAGGAATGCATCATTGATCTCAAGATCTCCCTTTGGTCTCCCTGCTTCTTCAAGCCTTGATAGGTGATCCGCCACTTGATTTTGAGTTCCCTTGCGATCCTTGACCTCGAAGTCAAACTCTTGCAACAATAAAACCCATCGAATCAGTCGCGGATTTGCATCCTTCTTTGCCATAAGGTAGCGAAGAGCCGCATGATCCGTGTACACTATCACCTTGGATCCCAAAAAATAAGCCCGGAACTTCTCAAAGGCATAAACAGTGGCAAGAAGCTCTTGCTCAGTTACCGTGTAATTCATTTGCGCCCCATTAAGTGTCTTGCTTGCATAATTGACCGGGTGGAGAACCTTGTTGTGACGTTGGCCAAGCATTGCTCCAATAGCTACACCACTAGCGTCACACATGAGCTCGAAAGGAAGAGACCAATCGGGTGTGACAATAATAGGTGTCGTGGTGAGCCTTAGCTTCAATTCCTCAAAAGCTTTGAGGCATTTCTCATCAAACACAAATTTGGCGTCTTTCTCAAGGAGCTTGCACATAGGATTTGCAATTTTGGAAGAATCCTTGATGAACCGCCTATAAAATCTGGCATGCCCTAAGAAACTTCGAACACCTTTGATGGAAGTAGGTGGAGGAAGCTTGGAAATAATCTCGATCTTAGCTCGGTCAACCTCAATGCCATGTTTTGAAATTTTATGCCCCAATACGATGCCTTCATCCACCATGAAATGGCATTTCTCCCAATTTAGCACAAGGTTGGTTTCCTCACATCTCTTAAGCACTTGTCTAAAATTGTTAAGACAATGCTCAAAAGAGTCACCTACTACCGAGAAGTCATCCATGAAGACCTCTAGAAAATCCTCCACCATGTCGGAGAAAATGGACATCATGCACCTTTGAAAAGTAGCCGGAGCATTGCACAAACCAAATGGCATCCGACTAAAGGCAAAAGTTCCATAGGGACAAGTGAATGTTGTTTTCTCTTGATCCTCCAATGCGATGTTGATTTGGTTGTAGCCGGAATATCCGTCAAGGAAACAATAGAATGACCTTCCCGCTAGCCGATCAAGCATTTGATCAATAAAAGGCATAGGGAAATGGTCTTTGCATGTTGCACTGTTGAGCTTCCGATAATCCATACACACCCTCCAACCGGTCACCGTTCTTGTTGGGATGAGCTCATTTTTATCATTTTCAATTACGGTCATGCCTCCTTTTTCGGTACACATTGCACCGGGCTCACCCACGAACTATCGGCAATAGGGTAGACAACCCCGGCATCCAACCACTTGATGATTTCTTTCTTTACCACCTCTTGCATTGACGGGTTCAACCGTCGTTGATGTTCCACACTTGGCTTCGTGTCACTCTCCAATTGGATCTTGTGTTCACAAATTCCCGCGGGAATCCCTCGGATGTCCGCAATTGTCCATCCAATGGCTTGCCTATGCTCCTTCAAGACTTCCAACAATTGTTCCACCTGCACATCATTTAACAAAGACGAAACGATTACGCGTAAAGTATCATTAGAGCCAAGATATTTATACCTTAGGTGCGGGGGAAGTGGCTTGAGCTCTAGTTGTGGTGGCTCAATGATTGATGGCTTTGCGGGAGGTGTGGACCTATTCTCCAAGTCAAGAGAAAGCTTTGCCGGAGTATAAGTGTAGGATCCAAGACCATCCAATGCATTTACCGACTCCATGTACCCATCCATGTCTTCACCATCAAAGTTTACCAAAATAGCCGCCAATGCCTCACCAAGGCATTGTTCTTCCGTTTTCATTTCGACGGCACCTTCTACCTCATCAACAACATCTATCACTAAAATGCTCTCATACTCATGGGGTAGTTTCATACCCTTGTTCGCTTGAAATGTGACTTCTTCATCATTCACCCGGAATTTAATTTCGTTCCGCTCCGAATCCATGAGTGCTCTTCCCGTGGCTAGGAATGGTCTCCCCAAAATGATAGGGATTTCTTTATCAACCGCACAATCAAGAATCACAAAATCGGCGGGCAAATGAAACTTCCCCACTTTTACAAGTACATCGTCAACAATTCCCACCGGGCGTTTGATTGACCGATCGGCCATTTGCAATCTCATACTAGTGGGCCTTGGCGTACCTAACCTTGCTTGCTTATAGATGGCAAGAGGCATTAAGTTGATGCTAGCCCCATTATCACATAGGACTCTTGCAAAATCACGGGCCCCGATGGTACAAGGAATGGTGAAAGCTCCCGAGTCTTCTTTCTTTTGGACTTTGGTTGTGGCAATAATAGAGCTAACCCGGTGAGTCATGTTTACTACGTCATTCTTTGTGGTCTTCTTTTTGGTGATCAAATCCTTTAAATATTTAGCAAACCCCGGCATCTCTTGAAAAACTTCCACAAATGGGATATTCACTGTTAATTGCTTGAGAATGTCGTAAAAATTTTCAAGTTTGCTATCATCAATCTTTCTCGCGAGCCTCTGAGGAAATCGGGGAGGAGGTCTAGGAATAGGTGGAAGAGCTTTTGGTGTTTCTTTTACCTTTTCCCTCACCTCTTCCTGGTTCTCTTTTTGCACTTTCAACTCCTCCGGAATCTTTTCAACCTCGACAACACTTGGCTCTTCAACCTCAACCCTTTGTTCGGACTCTTCTGCTTCAACCGTTTGTTCACCCTCTCCGTGTAGCACTTTCCCACTCCTAGTAGTGATCGCCATGATGTGAGAAGTTGGGCCACTCCCACTACCTCTTGGATTTGCAACCGTGTCACTAGGGAGTGTTCCCTTTTGTTTTGGATTTTGCTCTTTGGAGAGGTCTCTCATTTGCATCTCCAATTTTTGGATGGAGGCGGTATGAGATCCAACAACCTCGGTCATGTTCCTCATTGAAGTATCGGATTTTTCTTGATTTTGCAACACTCGCTCAAGCATAGCTTCCAACTTAGATTCACTAGAAGACCCTTGGTTCGAATATTGACCCTTTGGAGGAACATAGGGGTTTGAACTCCGGTTAGAAAAGTTGTTGCTGTTGTTCCAATTCCCTTGGTTTGAGCCACCTTGGTCATGTCGCCATTGTTGGTTGCCTTGCCCTTGCGGGTTCGGCCTCCATTGACTTTGCTGCCCCTGACCCTGATAATGTTGTCGTTGATACCCTCCTTGAGGGTTGTTGATGTAATTAGCTTCTTCAAACTCTTCATTGGAGATAGGTTGCACATCCTCAACTACATTCACCTTTTTTGTTTGATTTTCCGTGAGCATTTTTGTCAACATATTTACATTTGTGGCCAACCCTGCAATTATTTGGTCCCTCTCTTGATTCTCCTTGATCAAGTTGGTCAAGGAAGGAGAACCATATGCAACTCCGCCCGAAGTATCCTCAGAATGCCAAGCTTGATTGTGTTTTGCCATCTTGTCAAGTATTTGCGTAACTCTTGCAAATGACTTGTCCATAAAAGATCCGTCCGCCGCATTCTTCGCTATAGCTTGGTTCATAGGATCCAAACCCATATAAAATTTCTCTAGCAAGATGGAATCTGGAAAGCCATGATTTGGAGACCTCACCAAATATAATTTGAATCGATCCCATGCCTCATGTAGGTGTTCCCCTGGTTGTTGCTTGAAGAAGAAAATCTTATCTCGAAGCTCAGATTTCTTGCTCTGTGGGAACCATTTTGCTAGAAATGCCCGGACAAGTTCAGGCCAAGACCGAATAGAATTTGGTGGCAAGTTTTGAAGCCACCTCCTTGCGTCTCCAGCTAGTGAGTACTTGAAGACCCTCAACCTTAGGGCATCATCTGAGACATTGTTTTGCTTATGCATAGCACACACTCCCAAGAAGTTCCTAAGATGTTGTGTTGGATCATCATCAGTAGAATTCCTAAAAAACCCCTCCGCTTTAAGCATTAGGATTAGACCATGTTCCACTTTGAAAGTTGAGGCACCAATAGCCGGAGGTACAATAGCATTTGTATCATCAATGTACTCATCTATGTCCGCAAAAGGATTTTCTTCCACTTCTTCCTCGTAGTCAGACATGTTTTCCTATCAACACCAAGCAAAGCAAGCGAAGAGTGATGGAATAGAATAAGACGTAAA